AAATCTGATTTTCTGAATACTTAACATTATTAATTATCACTGGTCGCCAAAATTCTGACTTTTTCCTCAAAAATATGATTTTTTCTCAAAAATATGACTTTTTCTCAAAATCCCAAAATCCTGATTTTTTTTTTCAAAAATTCTGATTTTATTTCAAAATTCTGATTGTTTTCTAAATCCTGATTTTTTTTCCCTCAAAATTCTGACTTTTTCTCAAAATCCAGACTTTTTTTTCAAAGAATCTCTAAATTCTGACTTTTTCTCAAAATCTCAAAATTTTTAATAATCCCTCGTCACCGGCTTGAGCTTGAACCTCAGGATCCATGTATCTGTGGTCCTCTCCAGAATGGAAGTAGTCATCACATACAGAGCATCAACTAGTTCCTGAACAGTGTCCTTCACATGCTGATATCCAAGAGAGGGAGTTCCACAGTCACAAGATGGAGGAATAGAAAGCAGTATTCAATGTTTACTTCAGATTAGCTCCACGTCAGAAATGATCATGCTTGTCATATGTCTCTCTCCATAGAGGCTGAATCATCATGTTAATCACATAGCTATCATATGCCTCAAACAGTCCTGATGCTCTTCTAGGTAATCACACATCCTGTCATGTTCACAGCTACAGTTGGGATACCTTTGTTAGCATGCTACTCTCATGTTGGAAGAGGACATTCAGGATTTTCCCAACAATAAGATAAGATAGGACTTTATTTATCCCGAAGGAAATTGTTGTGCCAGAGTTACAAAAATACAGTAAACGCAGCAGCAGAATAATACAACTGTACACCAACAGTGCAGTACAACGAGCAATTCAATAACTACAGGAAACAAAGACGGTCACATAATTAATGTAAATATTAAAGGTGGGGTAGGTAAGTTTGAGAAACCGGCTCGAGATACACTTTTTGTTATATTCCATGGAATGCTCTTAACATCCCGATAGCAATGAATATCTGAAGTGCTTTGACAACAAATCCATAAAAATATCATCAGTGGAAGCCGTAGCGCTGTAAAAAGCACGACCAATCATCTGAGCCGGCCCGGCTAAAGTAACTGGATGGCCTACCTGCCTGTCAGCCTTCCATCTGGGCACAAACTGATCTTGTGCCCTCATTGGTCATGTGCGCGTTCGTGTGTGTTGGAGGAGGGGCTCTGTGAGGAAGGGGCAGATTTTTTCTGGTTGTGTATTTTCAATTTCTCGCGCACTCGAGCTGGTTTCTCCAAAATGACCTTCCCCACCTTTAACAGTATTCAGTAGTGCAAAAAAAACGTAGTGGCAGATATGTAATTGCACGTTCTTATAGAACATTATTAATAATAATAATATTGCACATGTTGTATAGCAGAGTGTTTTGTCATGATGGTAATGGTATTTATATTGCACATAGTGGTGGTGTGGAATTTCTCTGTTCCCTAATCCTTCCTCTCCTCCTCCCATCATCTGTTCCTCCTCTTCCTCTCCTCCAGGTAAATCTCAGGCTCCGGTGTTCGATGTCTTCGAGGCGTTCATCAACACCGACAACATCCAAGTGTTTGCCAACGCAGCCACCGACTACATCATGTGTCTGATGAAGTTCGTAAAGGGATTAGGTTAGTCTCTCTTTCACTTCAAGCCGTTAGGTACTTTATTTCTCCTGCAGTACACTGTACTGTATTTGATGTGAGGCACTCAGACCAAGAGGTGTCCATTCCCTTCTTCTTATACCATGTTGTGTGTGCAGGGGAGCAGGACTATAAGGAGATTGGAGACTGTGTCCATGCGTCAGGTTTCAGCTCCACTGACCTCTGCTTGCCCGCGCTCGATTATCTCCGAAAGTGTTCACAGGTAGGAGCTGCTTTTATTCCACAACGGAATCAAAACCTACAGAGGGTCCTGATCAGGGACCCATCGTGCCTTTTCAATCTGTGACTTAACTGAGCGTTTGATTGACAGCTGCTGGCAAAGATCTACAGGATGCAGTTGAAGCCGGTGTTTTTGGGGGCGCGGCTCGCCAGCCTGCCAATGAGATCGCAGGAGCGCTCGGTCAGCACGGAGGACGGGATGGACTGCGTGCTGCAGGAGTTCGACGATGAAACAGGTGGCGTTACTGTCTCTTTAAATATCAATGTTGTCAGGCTTGGGAAGAAAACTAGAGCATTTAGTGTTTGCTGTAAAAGTGTGTGTGTATTTGAAACCAATTCAAAATACAGTGTGTGTGTGTGTGTGTGTGTGTGTGTGTGTGTCCTCAGGTCTCATCCAGGTGTGGATCTTGTTATTGGAGCAGCTCACAGCAGCCGTCTCAAACTGTCCTCGTCAACATCAGCCTCCGACCCTCGAGCTGCTCTTCACTCTGCTCAGAGAGGTGTCCACTGTGCCAGGTAACACACACACACACACACACACACACCCACACTCACACTCACACTCACACACACACACACATTTGAGTTTGTCTGACAGAACGCACTCAGCGTAGGATGGCACGGCCGTTTTTTTACTTTTATTCCATGCTTGCTCACTTTCTTTCTTTCTTTGTTTTTTTCCGCAGGTCCGGGTTTCGCCATCTTCTCCGTCATCCAGCTGCTGCTTCCTGTGATGTCACTGTGGTTGCAGCGTAGCCATGGCGACCACTCCTACTGGGATGTGGCGGCGGCGAACTTTAAACACGCCATCGGGCTGTGCTGCGAGCTGGTGGTGGAGCACGTCAACAACTTCATACACTCAGGTGAACCAAGTGTGTGACGGTCGTTTCCACGGTAGATTCTAGTCCATCATTTACATGAAGCAGGAAAATAAATGAAAGTAGAGAAACTTCAAAACAAATTTGAAACCAAGTCAAATTAAACTGCCGCTGCATCTCTATCCATGTTTTAATGGACTGTGTGTGTGTGTGTGTGTGTGTGTGTGTGTGTGTGTGTGTGTGTGTGTGTGTGTGTGTGTGTGTGTGTGTGTGTGTGTGTGTGTGTGTG